AAACAGATCTTCAGATTTTCCATGGGATCACTGGGTGAATTCAAACCACCACCCTGTAGGGTTAGTTTGGAAGCAAACCATTTGCTTCACCGGGAGTTGGACAGGCTCGATCGGAATGGGGTGTTGAATTGTTGTTATTGTTAAGTTGTGGGTAGCTGGGGTGAGACAGGTGCACTAGTGGAAAGGGGATGGGCTGGGGTCCTGAATTCTGATTCTGTCCCTTTTGCCAGCTGGCGACTTTGGGCAGATGACCCTGTCCCCTCTCGGAACCTCACTGTCTTCCGTAGTAAAAAGGGACAACAGCAACGCCTCCTGGGGACTTCCAGAGCTCCAGGATATGGGGCGGGGGAGGGGAGATTGTTACACGGGGTTTCGAGGTTGCTACACGGTGTCAGAGCTCTGAGTCGGGGACATTGTGACTAGGAGAGAGAATCTCCCTAGGTGTCCCCCTTCCTGTCCCCAACTGAGGTGAAGGCTCTCACGCACCTGTTAGAAGCAGCCTCCTCCAGGCTGGGCTGCAGCCGGACCCCGCGTCCAACGTACACCTCATGCCTTTTCAGTCCGGGGGAGTCCCCAGAAGTGATGTCTCCCCGTACGCACAACAGGCACCTGCTTGTACTGGGCCCTGGCCCCGCCCAAGCCCATCCGCTGGCCACACCCCCGCTGTAACCCGGCCTTGTCGCTGGCTCCATCCCTGTCCGGGTCCCGCCCTTGCCCTGCCCAGTTCCGGTCCTTGGCTGAGTAATAACCTGCCCTGGTCACTGGTATTGGGGTGGCACTGGCGATGGGGCTGTTGTTGTTAGGTGCTGTTAGGGTCCGAGACCACCACCCAATAAGGACACCAAGAGACAAAGATAATGCAAAAGCAGGCGGGCTTTATTCAAGCTAGCATGCTAGGGTCGAGTGGCGGCTGGCAGTGTAGTGTTCAGCAGTGTTACTGCATCAGCTCACCAAAGCTCGACCCCAAGCAGTTCACAAACCGCACCTTATATAGGGTTTTGGGACACACCATGGGAGGGGGATATGCAAACTAGGATTACAACTTTTACCCAATGGAGCATTCAGAAACCGCAGGATCCAATAGATTTAAACATAACATCACATAAGTGACCTATAGTACTAAGACTTTTTCCAGTCCTACCGGCCTCATCTTATCTGTTACCTGTTCTGGCCACCTGGCCTGTGAGTCTTCAACTGTGACAGTTTTATGAGTGTGCTCTTTACCCTGCATTTGTGTCTCTTGAGACATTCTGTTGGGGACTTGCCTAGCCATGCCTGGTTGTCCTTATGACCCCAGCCTGAAGCAGGTCTCAGAGCAAGCTCTTATGCCTGAAGCGGCGATTCTTGCTCTGAGCCCTACTCTCAGCCGTCCACTTTCATTCTCACAGTGCCATCGGGTCGGTACAGACTCATAGCGACCCTATACACAACAGAACGAAACACTGCCCAGTCCTGGGCCAACCTCACTATTGTTACCACTTGAGCCCATTGATCCTGACACTTTGCCAAACCATCTCGTTGGGGGTCTACCTCTTTTTCTCTGACCCTCTTCCTTACAAAACATGATATCCCTCTCTATTGACTGGTCCTTCCTGACACTATGTCTGAAGTATGAGAGATGAAGTCTGGCCATCCTGGCCTCCAAGGAGCACTCTGGCTGCACTTCTTCCAACACAGATCTATTTGCTCTTTTGGCAGCCCATGGCACTTTCAATATTCTCCTCCAACACCATGACTCAAACGTATCAATTCTTCTAGTCTTCCTTATTCACTGTCCAGCTTTTGCATGCATCTGAGGTGATTGAAAATACCACAGCTTGGGTCGGGTGCACCTTAGACCTCAAGCTGACACTTTTGCTCTTTAACACTTTATAAAGGTCTTGTACAGCAGATTTGTTTAATGCAATACATCTTGACTGCTACTTCCGTGAGTGTTGATATTTGATCCAAGAAGAATGAAGTCCTTGACAACTTCAATCTTATCTCCGTTGATAAGAATGCTGTTCATTGGTTCAGTGGTGAGGATTTTTGTTTTCTTTACATTGATATGCAATCCATACCGAAGGCTGTGCTCTTTGATCTTCATCAGTAAGTATTTTAAGTCCTTTTTGCTTTCAGCAAGCAAGATTGGATCATCAGCATATCGCAGGTTGTTAATGAGTCTTCCTCCAATCCCGATGCCATGTTTTTCTTCATATAACCCAGCTTCTCGGATTATTTGCTCAGCATACAGGTTGAATAAGCATGGTGAAAGAATACAGCCCTGTCGCACACCTTTATTAATTTTAAACCATTCAGTGTTCCCATGTTCTGTTCAAACAGCTACCTCTTTGTCCGTGTACAGATTCCTCATGAGCACAATTAAGTATTCCGGAATACTCATACTTCACAATGCTGTCCATAGCTTGTCACAATACACACAATTGAAAGCCTTTTCATAGTCAATCAAGCACAGGTAAACATCTTTCTGATGTTCTGTGCTTTCAGCCAAGATCCATTGGACATCAATAATGATATCCCTTGTTCCACAGCCTCTTCTGAATCCGGCTTGAACCTCTGGAAGTTCTCTGTCAATGTTTGATTGTAGATGTTTCTGTATTACCTTTAGTAAAACTTAACTCGTATGGGATATCAAAGATATTATCTAATGATTTCCACATTCCATTGGGTCACCTCTCTTTGGAATGGGCACAAATAAGGATCTTGTCTAATCAGTTGACCAGATATTTGTCTTCCAAATTTCTTGGCATAGATGAGTGAGTGCCTCCTGTGCTGCCTCACTTTCTTGAAAGATTTCAATTTTTATTCCATCAATTCCTGGTGCCTTGTTCTTTGCCAATTCCTTCAATGCAACTTGAACTTCTTCCTTCATTATCATTGGCTCTTGATCATATGCTACCTCTTGAAATGGTTGAACATTAACCATTGCCTTTTGGTACAGTGACTCTGTATATTCCTTTCATGTTCTTTTGATGCTTTCTGCATCATTCACTCATTTGCCCAGAGAATCCTTCAGTAACGGAAGTTGAGGCTTGAATTTTTTCTTCAGTTCCTCCAGCTCGAAAAATGCTGAGCGTATTCTTCCCTTTTGGTTTTCTGACTCCAGATCTTTGCACATTTCGTTGTAATATTTGACTTTGTCTTCTCAAGTTGACCTTTGAAATTTTCTGTTCAGCTTCTCATTTCTTCCATTTGTTTTAGCATCTCTACTCTGGAGAGCAAGTTTCAGTGCCCCTTCTGACATCCATATTGATTTTTTCTTTCTTTCTTGTCTTCTTAACAACTTTTTGCTTTCTTCCTGTATGATGTTCTTGATGTCATCCCACAACTCTTCTGGTCTTCAGTCTTTAGTGTCTAATGTATCAAATCTGTTCTTGAAATGATCTCTAATCTAAATTCAGGTGAGATATATTTAAGGTCATGTTTGGGCTCTCATGTACTTGTTTTCATTTTTTTTAGCTTCAGTTTGAATTTGCATATGAGTAATTGATGGTCTGTTCCCCAGTCTGCCCCTGGCCTTGTTTTCACTGATGATATGGAGCTTTTCCATCATCTCTTTCCACAGAAGTAGTCAATTTGATTTCTGTGTATTCCATCTGGTGAAGTCCATGTGTATAGTCATCTCTTATGCTGTCTAAAGAAGGTATTTGAAACGAACAAATAATTAATTTTGCTGAATTCTATCATGTGATCTCCAGCATCATTTCTCTCAACAAGGCCATTGTTTCCAACTACTGATCTTTGTTTCCAACCTTTGCATTCCAATCACCAGTAATGATCAGTACATCTTGATTGCATGTTTGATGAATTTCAGATTGAAGAAGTTGGTAGAATTCTTCTATTTCACCACTCATCTGTCCGTTTGTCTTACTGTGGTGGCTTGTGAGTTGCTGTGATTCTGGAAGCTATGCTACAGGTATTTTAAATACCAGCAGGGTCACCCATGGTGGACAGACAGTGTGGATGAAGGTGTAGGAACTATAGTGGTGGTGGGTGGGAGGAGGCTTGGATTGGGTTCCTGGAAAGAGGCTCTGGGGTTTCTCTTGCCCCACTGCAGTGTTGCAGCTAACAACAACAATGACATTTATTGGGACCAGGATGCCCTGGAGGCATCAGGACCTTGATGGTACCACATCCTGTGTTTTTGATTCTCAAAGGAAAAGCTGGGAAAAACTCTTTTCTCTCCCACTTTGCCCTTCCAGGTCTATGCTCTTGTCTTCAAATTAATAACTGTATTACTCAAATGAATGAATTGGAACTAAGTACATGGCGCCTAAGAAGAGCAACAATACTGTGTGACAGGTGATAGCCCTTTTACAATTGTCTAATTGAATCTCGACAGCAACCTTGAGAGGTAGGTATGATAGATAACATCTTTTTCCCACCGCCTGGTCCTGCGCCATCCTCACCACTGGTATGCTTAAGCCCATTGTCGCTGCCACTGTCAGTCTGTCTTGTCGGAACTGACTCCACAGCACATAATAACATCAACAGCAGCACACACAGTGAGCTTGGCAGCAGGCGTGGCTATATGTTATCATTGGAGTTAACCACCTTCACGGCAGCACCATCCCAGTGTATCTAACGTTCGGGAGTCATCCCTCCTCAGAACGGTATCTCCCCAAGCTGCCAAGGCATCCTGCCAAACAGGCCAGAAGGGGGCGCGATTCTCAAAGGGCTCCAAGGGCCAAAGAGCAATTTTTGTTGAGCCTTTTCCTCCTCCTGGGGAAGCACCTGTGTTCCTGGGGTTCCGGCTTTATGTGCCAGGTGGAGAAAATGAGAATGAGCCCTGGGGATAAAGGGCAGAGGTGGAGTGAATCCACCCTTAACCACCTTGTCAGTCTTGGGAGCCGCTGCCCTCACAGGGCATAGATGTTTGCAGCAGGGAAAACGGGAAGAGACGCAGGCTGGTGGGGAGGGCAGAGCTAAAGTGGAGACTGTTTCTATACGCGAGCCAGGAGGCAGGTGGCTGACCTCTCCAGAGTTGGGTGCCAGGACCTATGGGGCTCCCTGACTTATGGGGTCCCCACTGGACAGGGGTTCTGCTCTCAGGTAAGTGTCTGCTTCCCTCAGATGGGGCAGTGGTGATGGGAGTGGGGAGTTGTATGTGTGCCTCGGTCTGTGGTGCATATGTGAGAGAGAAAGAAACAGAGAGAGAGAGACTGTGTCAGAAATAAAGACAGAGACAAGAGAGGTTAACACAGAGAGACAGAGACCAGAGACAAAGAAAGATGGGCACAAGACACAGAACGAGGCAGTTAAAGAGACGGATGAGAGAGACCCCAACACAGAGACTAGAGGGAGAGAGACAGACACAGAGTGAAGAATAGGAAGAAACACAGAGGGAGAGAGAGACAGAAAGGAGAAGAAAGAAAAGAGAGAGAAGGGGAAAAGAAAGAAAGAGATAGGGGAAAGAGACAGAGAGAGAAGGAGATGGAAAAACATGGACAAAAAAATAATGAGAAGGAGAGAAAGATGGAGAAACAAGCAGGCAGGAGAGAGACAAGCAGAGGGAGAATGTGCCAACCTCAGTGGCCAGGTCCACGCATCAGGAAGGGAGAAGAAAGTAAAATTTATGCTAACAGGCAATCGGAACAAAAGGGAGGAACTAGAAGATATTGTTAAGAAAAGGACTTCAGAAGGAAGAAATGGTTTTGCAAACCGTGATATGCATCAGTTAAAGGGCTGGACTGCTAACCAAAAGACCAGCAGTTTGAACCCACCAACACCTCCGCAGGAGAAAGATGTGGCAGTCTGTTGTCATAAAGGTTGTTGTTGCTGTTAAGTCGATTCCAGCTCATACTGACCCTATATAAGGTTTCCAAGGCTGTAAATCTTTTTGGGAGCAGAAAGCCTCATCTTTCTCTCGCTAAGCAACGGCTGGGCTTGAACCACTCACCTTGTGGTTAGCAGTCCAGTGCTTATCCACAGAGCCACTAGTGCTCCATAAAGATTATCGCCTTGGAAACCCTATGGGACAGTTCTACTGTGTCCTTAGGGGTCACTGTGAGTCAGAATCGACTTGACAGCAACAGGCTTGGGAGGGGGTGGTGTAGGGGAGGGGGACCAGAGGAGTATCTGGGTGGTGCAGATGGTTAAGCACTTGGCTGCTAACTCAAAAGCTGGAGGTTTGAATCCACCCAGAGGTGACTCGGAAGAAAGATATGGCAATCTACCTGTGAAAACCCAGTCATTGAAAAGCCTGTGGAGCACAGTTCTACTCTGTCACACATGGGGTCCCCTACCCATGCCCACAGTCTTCTTCCAGCCACTGGCCAAAAGGAAAAGAGGGAATTCCTGCTACCTTGTTCCCCTTTCCTTTGTCATCTAACAGGATCCTGTGTCTGAGGAAGCACCAAAGGTTAATGTCTCCCATCAGAGATAATAGTTGGAGTTGTTATTCACAGGGGTTGACTCTGTACCCATTGCTGAACTGACTGGGACAATTACACTTCTGAAAGCATGTCTCTAGGAGCTGGCAGGGCAGGGTTAGGTTTAACCTCAGCTATAACATGATGGAGTCCTGGTGTGGCACTGTAGGATAAACACTGGACTGCTGACCTCAAGCTTGACAGTTCAAACCCACCAGCCACTCCTAGGAAACCGTATATATGGTGGCTATGAGTCGGAACAACTTGATGGTACACTTAACAACAACATGACGTGATGTAACCAAAGGAGCCCTGGTTAGAGCTTTTGGTTGCTAATCAAAAGTCAATGGTTCAAACCCACCAGCGGCTTTTTGGGAGCAGGATGGAGCCATCTGCTCCCATAAAGATTTACAGCCTTGGAAACACTATGCGACAGTTCTCCTCTGTCCCACAGGGTCACTGTAAGTTGGAATCAACTCGACGGCCGCCAGTATAAACTGACAACAATTACAACCACCATTTGACATCCTGGTATGGTGCTGTAAGATAAGCACGGTGGTTCAAACCCACCAGTCCCTCCTCAGAAACCCTATTCAGGATCGCAGTGAGTTGAAATCCACTTGACGGCACTTAACAGCAACAGCCATTTGTACTGTGTGATCTTGGCAAATTCATCTTGCTGAGCTGAGCGTCTCTTCCAACCCTGTGAAAAATGAGCATCATTGCAGAGCATGCAGTGACCACCAGGGGGCGCGGTTAAAACTCACCAGTCAGTATTCATTACCGCTCCCACTAGGAACCTATTTAGTGCCGTCGTGTCGTTTCCAATTCATAGCGACTCTGCATAAGGTTTCTGAAGAGCAGTTGGTGGGTTTGAACTGCCAACCTTGTGGATCGTAGTCCAGTGCTGATCCTACAGCACCATACCAGGAGCCCACAAGGACCCTGAGGTACTACCATTTTACAGAGCAGGAAACTGAAGCTCACGTCCCAAGTCGTATGGCGAGTAAGTGGTGGGTAGGACCCAGACTTTGGGAATGGAGTGCCTTATCCATGATTTCATACCTCCCTCCACTTTCGAAGTCCATAACTAGACACTTCCCAACATGCCTCTCGGTCTCTGAATGGTCCCTCTCTCCCCTCCCAGCCTCGCTCTTGACTGTGTGGAGTCCGCCGGCCGTAGCCCAGCACAACCTCGACGTGCTTAACACCACCCAAAGTAAGGAGGATGTTGTTCCATCTATGTTTGGGAGCCCCTAGACACTGTGTTCCGTGGGAGAAACATGAGGTTTTCTGCTCCCGTAAAGATTTACAGCCTCGGAAACCCTGTACAGGGTCGCTATGAGTCGGAGCCGACTCCACAGCACATAAGAACCATCACCACCAGACACTGTGTGAGGTCCTGATGTGGCACCATAGGATAAACACTTGACCTCAAGGTTGGTTTGAACCGCAAGGTCAGCAGTTCCAACTCACCAGCTGCTCCACAGCACTTAACAAGACACTGTGTGGTGCTTTAGGATAAGCACTGAACTGCTAACTGCCAGGTCAACAGTTCAACTCCACCAGCTGCTCCTCGGAAACCCTTTAAGGATCTCTATGAGTTGGAAGTAATTCGACAACACTTAACAACAACAACATGACATCTGAGACTCACAAAAAGTAGATTCTCACAGAAAGTCATGTCCACTCATGGAAACCCCATATGTGCAGAATAGAACTACCCCATGGGTTTTCAAGGCTGTGACCTTTCGGAAGCAGTTCACCAGATCTGTATTTCATGCAACCAGGACAAAAGGGAGGAATTAGAATGTATTGTTAAGAAAAGCATTTGGGCGGAAAAGAAATAATTCTGCTTCTGTGGAAAGTAATTTTGTCGGTGGTTCAAATCCACCAGCGCTCCATGGGAGAAAGGTGTGGCACAGAAATACAAGAAAATGGCATTGTCTTTCTGATCTCTGCCTTCACACCTCAAACCCCCATCAGGGGTCCACATCCTGAGACCCAACAGGATGAATCTAATGGCTCAGCCAGGGGGTAAAGGGGTGGACTGTAACTGTCACTACTGTGGGTGGGGAAAGTTGACCAACAAGTGAGAGATGGGCATGCTACAAGCTTGATTCTCTTTGCAGCTGGTATCAATTGATCAATTGTTAGGACCTAAATCCTCTTTTTGTGCCTTACCTGCACACTCTCATTCAACGGAGCTCAGAGAAGCGGAAGTAAGTGGCCCAAAATCACACCTAGAATGAGCAGGTAATCCAGAATTAGAGCTCAGAACGTTCGCTTCCGGTGTGTCTTCCGCAAATTCGAATCCACTCGTATCTCTCTCAGTCTCGCTATGACTTTTTATTTGTGTTCTGCTCTCTCTCTCTCTCTTCAGAATCCCTGTCCAAACCCATCATTTCAATCAGCCAAGTCAGTGCCATAGAGCACAAAGCAAAAATAAACATCTACTGTGACACCAACGACGTCGACATCAACATCCACTGGCTCTTCAACAATGTCCCCCTTGAGCTCCAGGAGCGGATGCATCTGTCCATGGCTGACAAGATGCTCACCATCCTCACAGTCTACCGAGAGGACTCTGGGACTTACCAGTGTGAAGTCTGGAGCCCCCTTCAGATTCAGCGCAGCGATACCGTAATGTTGACCGTGAACTGTGAGTCCCTTTTCATTCTACCCAGTTCTTCGCTGATGCCTACTTCCTTGGTAATCTTATTCTGCCTCACAACTTTCAATACAACCTCCACTGAAAACACAATATAATAGATACATTTTTTTAAACAGTTAAGGGGGGAATTTTTTAAAACTCTGTTCAAATTGGTAATCTGTTATCAAATGGTTATAATAACAACAAAAATGTGGGCATGTCCATCCCTGAAGTCTAGAGACATAACTATCTATTTGACATTACTAGAGTCCTTGGACCACCACATAGCTATCAGTTTGTCATACTCTGGTGGCTTAAGTGTTGCTGTGATTCTGGAAGCTATGCCACTAGTATTTTAAATACCAGCAGGGTAAACCCATGGTGGACAGGTTTCAGATGAGCTTTCAGACTAAGATAGACTAGGAAGAAGGAGAGACGGATTACTTCAGAATATTTAGTCTCTGAAAACCTTATGACTACCAGTAGAACACTGTCAGCTAGCACCAGAAAAGAATGCTAATGAAGAGCACCAGAATATTGTCAGATATAGTGCTGGAAAATGAGCTCCTTAGGTTGGGAAGCACTCAAAAATATGACTGGGGAAGAGCTGTCTACTCAAAGTAGATCGGCTGTAATGATGCGGATGTAATGTAAAGCTTTCAGGGCCTTCATTTACTGATGGCGCACAACTCAAAATGAAGAGAAACAGCTGCAAACATCCATTAATAATCAGAACATGGAATGTACGAAGTATGAATCTAGGAAAATTGGAAATTGTCAAAATGAAGTGGAATGCATAAATATCAATATCCTAGGCATTATTTAGCTGAAATGGATTGGTATTGGTCATTTTGATTCTGACAACCGGATGGTTTATTATGCCAGGAATGATACACTGAAGAGGAATGGCATCACATTCATCACCAAAAAGAACATTTCAAGATCTATTTTGAAGTACAACACTGTCTGTGATAGGATAATATCCATACGCCTACCAGTTAATACAACTAGTATTCAAATTTACGCACCAACCATAAAGCCAGTGATGATAAAATTTAAAAATTCTACCAAGTTTTCAATCAGAAACCAATCAAACAAGCAATCAAGATGTATTGATCATTACTGGTGATTGGAATGCAAAGGTTGTAAACAAAGAGGAGGGATCAGTCATTGGAAAATATTGACTTGGTGACAGAAACGATGCAGAAAATTTTGCAAGACCAATGACTTCTTTATTGCAAATACCTTTTTTAAAACAACATAAAAGACAGCTATACACATGGACCTCACCAGATGGAATATACAGAAATCAAATTGACTACATCTGTGAAAATGCCATATCATCATCAGCCAAAAGAAGGCCAGGGACAGACTGTGGAACAGACCGTCAAGTGCTCATATGCAAGTTCAGGCTGAAACTGAAGAAAATCAAACAAGTTCACAAGAGCCAAAATATGACCTTGAACATATCTCACCTGAATTTAGAGGTCATCTTAAGAACAGATTTGATAAACTAGACACTAATGACTGAAGCCCAGAATTTTTGTGGGATGACATCAAGAGCATCATACAGGAAGAAAGCAAAAGGTCATTAAAAAGAAAGATGAAAAAGGCCAAAATAGATGTCAGAAAAGACTTTGAAACTTGCTCTTCAGCACAGAGATGCTAAAGCAAATGGAAGAAATAAGGAAGTAAAATAACTGAATAGAAAATTTCAAAGAGCAGCTCAAGAAGACAAAGTCAAATATTATAATGAAATATGCAAAGATCTGGAGTTAGAAAACCAAAAGGGAAGAACATGCTCAGCATTTCTCAAGCTGAGGGAATTGAAGAAAAAATTCAAGTCTTGATTTATGATATTGAAGGATTCTTTGGGCAAATGATTGAACAATGCAGAAAGCATCAAAAAAAGATGGAAGGAATACACAGAGTCACTGTACCAAAAAGAAATGGTCAATGTTCAATTTTTTGAAGAGGTAGCATATGATCAAGAGCCAATGATACTGAAAGAAGAAAGCCGAAGTACACTGATGACATTGACAAAGAACAAGACTCCATTAATATCATGTGCAAGTAAAATTTTGCTAAAGATAATGCAAAACCAGCTGCAACAGTACATTGACAGGGAACTACCAGAGGTTCAAGCCAGATTCAGATGAGGACATGGAAAGAGGGATATAGTTGCTGACGTCAGAAAGCAGAAAATACCAGAAAGATGTTTATCTGTGCTTTATTGACTATATAAAGTCTTTGATTGTGTGGATCATGACAAGCTATGGACAACATTATGAAGTATTCCAGAACACTTAATTGTGCTCATGAGGAGCCTGTACATAGACCAAGAGGCAGTTGTTCGAACAGAACAAGGGAACACTGACTGGTTTAAAATTAGGAAAGGTGTGCGCCAGAGTTGTGTTCTTTCGCCATACATATTCATTCTATATGCTGAGCAAATAATCCGAGAAGCTGGATTATACGAAGAAGAATATGACATCAGGGTTGGAGGAAGACTCATTAACTACCTTCAATATGCAGATGGTACAGCCTTGCTTGCTGAAAATGAAGAGGACTTAAAATACTTACTGATGAAGATCAAAGACCACAGCCTTCGGTATGGGTTGCACCTCAATGTAAAGAAAACAAAAATCCTCACCACTGGAGCAGTAGATAAAACATCAAGGTAATTGGAGAAAAGATTGAAGTTGTCAAAGACTTCATTTTGTTCAGATTGATCATCAACACTCATGGAAGCAGCAGTCAAGAGATCAAATGGCGTATTGTATTAGGCAAGTCTGCTGCACAAGATCTCTTTAAAGTGTTCAATAGCAAAGGTGTCTGTTTGAGGACTAAGGTGCTTCTGACCCCAAGCCATGGTATTTTCAATAACCTCATATGCGTGCAAAAGTTGAACAGTGAATAAGACAGACTGTGGAAGAATTGATGTATTTGAGTTATGGTGTTGGAGGAGAATATTAAAAGTACCATGAACTGCCAAAAGAACAAACCAATCTTTGTTGGAAAAAGTACAGCCAGAGTGCTCCTTAGAAGCCAGGATGGCCACACTTCATCTCTCATACTTCAGACATATCATCAGGAGAGACCAGTTCCTGGAGAAGAACATCTTGCTTGGTAAAGTGGAGGGTCAGTGAGAGAGAGGAAGACTCCCAACGAGATGGCAGCTGCAATGTGTTCAAACTTGGCAACGATTGTGAGGTTGGTGCAGAACCTGGCAGTGTTTTGTTTCATCATGCGTAGGGTCACTATGATGGCTCCTAGGAACAACAAAATCCTTGGGTGGTCCAAATGATTAAGCACTTGTCTACCAGCCAAATATTGGGATGATTCAAACCCACCCAGAGACACCTTCTGAAAGGTCACAGCCTTGAAAACTCCCATGAAGCAGTTCTCTGCACACCTGAGGTCCCAGTGAGTGGAAACTGACTTGACCAAAACTAGCAAGAACTCAACTTCTACTGGTCACTTTCAACTTATCTAAAACTGAGCTTCAGAGTCCCCAAACCTTCAGTTGATCCAAAATCTTGCCTGAGGAAGGATGGGCAAAGGGAATTAACTGGTATACTTCAGGTGTGTCTTCTAACCTCGCTTGACCCATGGAGCAGGCTACCATTTTGTTTCTCCATCCGACTCCTGCACATCCTTCTCAATGGGTCCAGAGCTCTGGTAGGGAGGTGGGAAATATTGGCATTTATCGATTCCCCCAAGACTTCACCTTCCAAAGGGCTGTTGCTGATATTGTTGTTAATGCTGTGATTGTACCTGTCTTCCCAGACGGTCCTGACCCTGTTGAAATCAAGTTGGATTCTGGCGTACTCAACGGGGAGTGGGTGGAGGTGATGGAAGGCTCTGATGTAAACTTCCAGGTGGAAACACAGTCTGACCCACCCCCTGAGTATTCCTGGTTGTTTCCCAACAACTCCGTCCTGTCTTCCACCAAAAATACACTGACCATCCGTGCTGTGTCCAGGGAACACGAGGGCACATACAAGTGCTTGGTGTCCAACTTCGCCACCCATCTGTCCCGCCTGGGTGTTGTTAACCTTTGGGTCCTTGGTAAGTCTTCTTTCCCTGTCTCTCTCCTTCATTCCTCTGAGAATTGAGGACCTGCAGGGTCAGAAAGGATGAGGGGGTTCTTCATCTGGGGCTGTGGGCATCTAGGAATGGGGTGGCGATTCTTGAGTGGTTTCAAGATACACTCAAAATGTGCTGTTTTGTAGAAGAAGGGTCTACAGCTTTTCATTGGCTTCTCAATGTGTTCTAGAACTTAAAAACAGTTCAGAGTCACTGAGGCACACCCAGAGAAGGAGCAGGGATTTCCCAGGTGGCTGGGAGCAGGCAGGGAAAGACCTGGCGCCTGGCTCGGTGTATGCCCCCCAACACCTTGTTGGCTCTGTCTGGGCTTTATGTGACTTGATTCTTTGTGAAAAGAGGCTCGATTTTTCCCTACACACCATGCTCACGTATTCCATACACACACAGAACCTCCCATGCACAAACAACATCCACACATGCTCAACAGACCCCAGACTCATCCACATGACATGCAATATCACAGGCCCACAACACACACTCATACAAAACACATATGCACATAATGTGCATGGGCTTGGTATTCACACATGCGGCAAGCAGGCATGTAACAGACACTTGCAAAATGCTCGTGCTCTCATGCATGCCGTATCCACATAATACGTATGCTACAGATATGTACAAATAGATGCAATACATATGACACACATAAATACACACACAGGTCACATACAACACACTCACAGCACAGCCCAGGTATACAATGTGTCCTTGTACTAAATACAACACTACACATGTTGTTGTTGTTGTTAGGTGCCACCGAGTTGGCACCGACTCGTAGAGACCCGATTTACAGCAGAATGAAGTACTGCCCGGTCCTGGGCCAACTTCACAATTGTTCTACGCTTGAGCCCATTGCTACTGCCACTGTGCCAATCCACTTTGTTGGGGTCTTCCCCTTTTTCTCTGACCCTCCACTTTACCAACATGATGTCCTTCTCCAGGGACTGGTCCCTCCTGACAATATGTCTGAAGTATGAGAGACAAAGTCTGGCCATCCTGGCTTCCAAGGAGCACTCTGGCTATACTTCTTCCCAAATAGATTGGTTGGTTCTTTTGGCATCCCATGGTACTTTTACTATTCTCCTCCAACACCATAACTCAAATGCATCAATTCTTCTACGGTCTTCCTTATTCACTGTCCAGCTTTCCCATGGCTTGGGTCAGGTGCATCTTAGTCCTTAAACTGATTTCTTGGCTCGTGAACAATTTCAACACTATACATAACAGACACTTACACACAACATATACTTAAGTCAGACACTCAACACCCTCACATGGAACACATTCACACAAATACATAGCACATTTCATACATTCAGCACGCTCAGCACATACACACAGCTGACATTCAATACACACACAAGATGCATACGCACACAACAGTCATTCACACAGTCACAGGATACATACACTAACACATAAAATACAGCAGTCACACGGCACTCACATACAGAAAATCTACACACATACAGCACACACTCATCACAGAACGCACATGCCTGCCACCCACACACTCACAAAACATATACTACACACACAAGAAAGGACACAAAATACACACAACACACACATGCACCATACACTCCATGTACACAAAACCCACAACAGCATTGACATACAACATGCACTGTCATGCAACCACACACACAAAACACACCTCACACACAGTATACCATATACAAAGCACAGACGCATGCTGTCTGAGTTCTCGAGCGTCGTTGTGTGAGGAATACCTTAAGTGAGTGGCTTGAACAGATGGAAACTCATTTTCTCACAGCTTAGGAGGTCTGGCATTAGAAGGAGCCCTGGTCACGTTGGAGGGTAAACACTAGACTGCAACCCACCAGTCAGACACTATGAGGGAGAGAGATGAGGTCATCTGCTCCCATGAAGATTTAGTCTCAGAAAATGCTGAGTTGGGATCGACTCAATGGTAAGGAGTGTGGTTTTTTGTGGCTTTCTTGTTGCTAAATTCTGTTGAGTTGGTTCCGACTCATAGGGACCCCATGCAGGGTTTCAGAGGAGCGCTGGTGGGTTTGAACTACCGATCTTGTGGCTACTGATCTTGTGCATATCCTACAGGGCCACACCCTACACTGATTGTAGTTGTTAATGCCGCTGAGTCGGTTCCAACTCATAGGGACCCTGTATAGAGTTCCCGAGACTTTAAATTTTTGCAGGAGTACAATCCTTATCATTCTCTGAGTGGCTGGTGAGCTTGAACTGCCAACCTTGTGGTTTACAGTTCAATGTTTATTCTAAGGAATCACTGGACTCCTCATAATAAAGAAAACCCACCCCCAAATGGAATTATAACCACAAAGACAGAGGTTAGGGTTTCTTGTTGTTAAGTGTGCTTGGAGTCATATAGGACTTCCAAGGAGCAGCTGGTGAGTTTGAACCACCGACCTTGTGATTCAGCGCATTATCCCACAATGCCATACCACAAAACATATATGGGGAGGAGGGGACACAGTTTAATCTATAACACACACACCACCCATAGCACATATGAAGGAGTGTCTACGAAGTTCATGGGGTAGGGGGGAAGAATCCTATCATCTTTTCATTCTGTTTTCTCATGAGCTTTTCAGAGTTCCCTCACACAACTCTAGAATAACCATGTGGGCTCCACAGAGACAGGAAACTGAGGAGGGATCCCTGAACCTGACCCTGTATCTCGATGTGTTTGCAGAAAAGCTGACCAAGCCTCACATCAGACCTCCAAGCCTGGATCCGGTGGAGAATGACAGCCTCGTGAATCTGACCTGTCAGAGCATCCACAAGAGAGTTAGTATCTTGTGGTTTCTGAGCGGGCAACCCCTCCTCCCCAGTGAGCATCTGATGCTGTCTCAGGACAACAGGACACTGCTCATCCACAGCATCAGGCGGAACGACACAGGGCCCTATGAATGTGAGGTGCGGCATTGGGGCAGCCGGGCACGGAGCGACCCCCTCAAGCTGCCCATCAGCTGTAAGTCACCCCAGGCCTGGGCCTTCTCCTCCTGCCTCCCTCCTCCTCTTAAAGTTCTGTTTCTTCCCCTTCTTGCCATCAGTATAGACCTTGTTCTAATGGGAGAGACAGATCAGAAACAGATATTATATGCATGTGTCAGGTGGGAGCAAATGGTTTGTTGTCAACGGCTTACCAACAGTTTTGAACCCAGCCGGCTGTGCTGCAGATGAAAGGCCTGGAGATCTACTTCCATAAAGATTATAACCATGAAAACCCTAAGGAATAACATGATTGAGGTACATACACCTTGGAATCAAAAGGGGCAGCATTTACCCCAAAACAAAAATTCAAAAGGGTTAAGCAAAAAGGAGGAATGGAAACAGGAAATGCAGAGAAAGTGGGGTGAGTGATATTATATGGAAGGGATTGCAACCAGTGACATGAAACAAAATGCGTGGGAATTATTGAATGGAGAACTGATCTGCTCTGTAAACCACTCAATTCAAAAAATTTTAAATGTAAAGAGAAAGCGCTAGGGAGTGCAGTTCTGCTCTATACCACATAGGGGCGCTGTGACTCCATAGCAAGAGGTTTATCCAAACCCACCAGTTTCTCTGTGGAGGGAAAACTGGTGGTAGTCATCTTTCCAGATGTTCATGTTAAACAAGGCAAGACTGTTAGTTTGAATGAGAAATCCAACAGCCATTTTCACGCATTTGTTTCCTTCTTGTATGTGGGAGGAGAGCACAGTGCCCTTCTAATGTTACAAACAAAATTCCCAAGTAGTTGTGTTGTTTAGAATACCACTATAACCAAGGGCCATGGCTTCAAATTCCACTCCTGGCAACCCTACGTCTTTAATGCCTGATTTTTCACAAGTGAAATAGCCAAGACTTTTTGTCTGGGGTGCGTCTGGGTGAACTCGAACCTCCAACGTTTCGGCTAGCATCTGAATGGGATTCCATTGTAAAGATGTCGATGGAAATCGTAACTGCACATGTCTTTATAAGTCAGATATTACAAACGTTTTAGAGGTCTACGTTCACAGGACACACAACTGTTTCTGAAGTCTGGGTGTCTTACAAGGCTCCTTTGTTAGGATTGACTTTTGCAAGGGCAAAACCAACCATTTGATTGGTTTGATATACAGTAAGGAGGACTAAACCCCAAAATCAAACCTCCTACCATTGAATCAATTCCTATTCGTAGCGACCCAATACAGAGTTTACAAGGCTGTAAGAAGGATATCATGTTTGGTAAGGCGGAGGGTCAGAGAAAGAGGGGAAGACCCCCAACAAGATGGATTGGCCAAGTGGCAGCATCGATGGACTCAAGCGTGGCAACAGTAGTGAGGTTGGCCCAGGATCGGGGAGTGTTTCATCCTGCTGTGTATAAGGTTGTTATGGATCGGTACCGACTTGATGGCACCTAAGGAGCTCTGGTAGCGTAGTGGTTACAAATCGGGCTGCAAACCGCAAGGCCAGCAGTTGGAAACTACCAGCTGTTCTGCGGGAGAAATATGAGGCGTTCTGCGCCCGTAAAGATTTACAGCCTCGGAAACCCTGTTACACGGTCGCTATGAGTCGGAACCGACTCCACGGCACTTAACAACAACAACAACAACAAGGCTGTAAATCTTTATGGGAGTAGACAGCCTCATCTTTCTCCTTTGGAGCAGCTGATGGGTTTGAACCATCAACCTTGTAGTTAGCAGTTCAGAGCTTCCACCACAGTTCTACCAGAGATAGGAAACATCTCCTTTAGCCTGCTGAGATTGCCTTTGAACCCAAACACCAAACCTGTCGTCCGGTTGATTGTGTGACCATAGGGTTTTTGTGGCTGGAATCTTTACAGAAAGGAGCTCTGCAGGTATGGTGGATTAAGTGTGGGGCAGCGAACAGAAAGACATGTCGGTCTACCTCTGGAAAGCTTTACAGTTTCAGAAACCCCAGGGAGCAGTTCTACTCTGCCTGTCGGGTTGCTGTGAGTTGGAAGAATTGACTCGATGGAGGTGAGTTTAATCTTTATGTAAGCAGATTGCCAGGCCTTTCTTCTGCAGCGCTGCTGAGTGGGTTCAAACTACCAGCCTTCAGGTTAATACCCCAAAACCCAATGCTGCCATCGAGTCGATTCTGACTCATAGCGACACTTGTAGACTGTTTCTGAGGCTGTAAATCTTTATAGGAGCAGAAAGCATCATCTTTCTCCCTAGGAGTGGCTGGTGGGCTTGAACTGCCGACCTTGCGGTTAGCAGTCCAGTGCTTATTCTTATGTTACTAGGAGACCCCTTTCCTTTCAACAGCAGATAGAAAAGCCTGTGTTAGAACTGAGAGGGAAAAGAAGAGATAAAACTGAGAATACGAATATGAACAGGACAGATAAGCTTGGCACAATGGTGTATGGATTGTACACATGATCTGGCTTCTGTCCACAGATGGTCCTGACCAAGTGAACATCATCTGGAGTGGACATCACCAGGAGGTCATCGAGGCGTCACTTAACTCCAAGGTGACACTGTGGTGTCAGGCCGAGTCCATGCCGGGCGCCCAGTATCGCTGGACCTATCAGCATTTCACCTGGGAGTCTGTTGGGGGGAACCTGACCATCGAGACTCTCACTTGGGAAGAGCAGGGACTCTACACCTGCACGCCCTTCAACCCAGTGACCCAACTGACCCGCTCGGCCTCAGTTCTGGTCAAGGTGAAAGGTGAGCCCGGCAGGTACTACCTCCCCTGGGGTCCAAGTGACCTTTCGTGACATTGGCCCCAGCCATCTGGTCTTCTTCTACCAAACACAATACTCCAGGCGCTGCTCTTGCTCTTGTCAAGTGCCGTCGAGTCAATCCTGACTCATAGTGACCCTGTACAGGGTTTCTGAGGAGCAGCTGTGGGCTTGACCATCGACCTTGTGGTTTGCAGTCCAGTGCTTATCCTCCAGTGCCAACCAGGAGTCCAGGCACCGCCCTAGAACTTTGCAAATGTTAATGAATTTAATCCTTTGATATAAGCACAATTATTATGTTTGTTGGGTTCCTGGGAGGTTCAAATGGCCTGGGGTTGACTATTGGGCGGCTCAAGGTATTTGATGATTCGAATTTACTAGTGGCTCCTCAGAAACCCTATAGAGGGTAACTGAGTCAGAACCGACTCAACAGGACTTAACAACAACAATCAGCCTGAAGGTTGGTCATTCAAATCCACCCAAGGGTTGTGGAACAAAGACCTGGAGATCTGCTTATGTAAGGAGTCAAAAATCCCAGCCTATCCCACTGCGATCGAGTGGATTTCAACTTGTATCTAGGACCAAGTAGGACTACCCATGGGGTTTCCAAGGCGGTCATCTTTATGGGGTGGAATCTGACTGCGAGTCCCCGGTTTAAAGCTTTTGAATCCCAACCCCGAGCTTGCAGGCCCTATACTTCCATCTCCTAGCTGTGTGCTTTGGTAGACTCTTAACCTCTGAATGGGGTCTGTAATGCCTGCCTTTCAGAGTTGTGAAAAATCACAGTATTTAGAAGAACAATGAGTTCAGGTGAGACTGTCAATGAGAGAAGGCAAGAGCCGATGAGAGGATTAGGGGGTAGTCAGGAATAGTGGGAATCCCTGTTTCTCAGTCCTACGGTCTTTTCTGCATTGAATTGCAAAATTATCAGTCACGACATTATTATTAACTGAATGGAAGCCATTTTCTGATTTTTTCTTCTTTTCCTTTCACTAGTACTTTATTCTCCAAAGAGTTATTGACATGCTGTTGCTGTTAATTGCCGAGTTGGTACTGATGCACAGCGACCCTGTGTAGGGTTTCTGAGGCTTTAAATCTTCCAGGGAGCAGAAAGCCTCATCTTTCTCCTGTGGAGGTGCTGACAGACTAGATAGATTCACAAATATTCCTTAGCACAATGTTGTAGCTAGAGCAAGAGGAAATTTGACAATGTCAGCAATGATCAAAGCACCGAGCAGCACAAAACACAACAGCATGTGCTTGTAATGAACGAAACCACGTGATTCGGAGCATCATTATAATTGATGGCAGCTCTGACCAGAGCTCTTTAAAACCCAAACCAAACTTATTACTGCCAAGTCACTTCTGACTCTATGATCAAACGCAAGCCTACTGCCATAAAGTCCATCATCCCCACTCATAGCGACCCTGTAGGTTTCCAAGGCTATAAATCTTTATGAGAGCAGAAAGCCTCATCTTTTCTCCTGAGGAGTAACTGGTGGGTTTGAAGTGCTAATGTTGTAGTTAGCAGATCAGTGATCATCCTACAGTGCCACCTGGTCTCCTTTGGTCAACAGACAAATTAAATTACTCTTTGTTGAACATGCATCAGACGCCAGGGCTAAGTCTTCCTGTCTGTAACATCAGCCAACCACGGGAATTTCAGGACACTTGATTGTGCTCTCGCAGAGTCTGCACCTAAACCAAGAGAAAGTGCTTCGAACAGAATGAAGGGGTGCTGTGTGGTTTCAAATCAGGAAAGGTATGTGTCAGGGTTGTATTCTTTCATCATACTTATTCATTCTGTATACTGAGCAAATCATCAGAGAAACTGGACTTTATGATGAGGAATTGGAGGATTTGGATTGGAGGAAGACTCATTAACAACCTGCAACATGTAAACAACACAATCTTGCTTTCTGGAATTAAAGAGGACTTGAAATACTTACTGATGAAGATTGAAGACTACAGCCGTGAGTATGGATTGAATCTTAGTTCAGTGAAAGTAAACATCCTCACAATCAGACCAATAAACAACATTATGATAAACAGAGGAAAGGTTGAAGTTGTCAAGAATTTCGTTTGACCTGGACCTACAATCAATACTCATGGAATTAACAGTCGAGAAATCAAACAGCATTTTGCATTGGACAAATCTGCTGCAAAAGACCTCTTAAAGTGTTCAAGAGCAAATATGTCAGTTTGAGGACTAAGGTGTGACGGATCCATAGTATTTTCATTCACCTCATATGCATGTAAAGCCTGGACAATGAAAAAGGAAGACCACAGAAGAATTGAATTGTGATGTTGGAAACTAATATTAAAAGCATCATGGACTGAAAGAAACACAAACAAATCTGGGCTGGAAGAAGGACAGCCAGAATGTTCCTTAAAAGCCAGGATGACGAGACTTGGTCTCATATACTGTGGACATGTTATCAAGAGGGACCAGTTCCTGGAGAAGGACATCATGCTTGGTAAAGTGGAGAGTTAGTGTAAAAGAAGAAGGCCCCCAATGAGATAGATTGACACAGTGGCAGCCGCAATGGACTCAAACACAGGAACGATGATGAGGATGGCAGAGTTTCGGTCTATTTCAGCAGTTTTGTTGTGTATAGGGTATACCTAGGAGTTGAAAATGACTTGGTGGCACTTAACAGCAACAACAAATGCCTTACGAGTATTAAAATGTTTCATCCTTCCAGTAGGGAATAGTGGTGGCTCAGTGGTTGAATTCTTGCCTTTCATGCAGGAGACCCAGGTTCGATTCCCGGTGAATTGCACATGATGCACAGCCAACCCCCATCTGTCAGTGGAGGCTTGTGTGTGTGTTCTTATGACGCTGGACAGGTTTCAACAGAGTTTCCACACTAAGATGGAGTAGGAAGAAAGACAGACCTGGAGATCTGCTTCTGAAATCAGTGACACTTCTATAGATCCCAACAGTATGATCCAAAACCAGCCATGGGGACAGTGTAGGACCAAACAACATTTGGTTCAGTTGTTCATGGGGTCATCATGGTCAAAGGTCAACTCGATGACAGCCAACAACAACCATCTTTCCAGCAACCTAATGAAATAGACACTGTTCTTCCCACTTCAGGGAAATCCTGGTGGCATAGTAGTTAAGCAGTTGACTGCTAACTGAAAAGTCAGCAGTTCGAACCCATCAGTCTCTCCATGGTTAAAGGTGTGACAGTCTGCTTCTATAAAGATTACAACCTAGAAACTCTGTGGGGCATTTCTCTTCCGTCATATAAGGTCACCATGAACTGTAAGAGGAGCATTGTGGATTACAAGCTGAGCTGCTAACTGCAAGGTCAACAGTTCGAATCTGCCAGTCGCTCTGTAGGAGAAAGATGAGGCTTTCTGCTCCCGTAAGATTCAGAAAGATTTATAACTTCGGAAACCCTATACAGCAGGGGTGGGGAACATCCAGCCTGCAGACTGTACAAGGCCCAGAAAATCATTTGGCTTGGCCCTGCTGAGGCAACCACAGTTCCAGCCATTACATTAGGCATGCATTAGTTAAATGTTTGACTAAATATGTTGTTGTTGTGAAGTGCCGTCGAGTCGGTTCTGACCCATAGCGACCCTGTACAGGGTTTCCAAGGGTGTAAATCTTTACGGGAGTAGAAAGCCTCATCTTTCTCCCGCGGAGTGGCTAGTAGTTTTGAACTGCTGACCTTAAGGTTTGCAGCCCGATTCGTAACCACTACGCTACCAGAGCTCCTTTTGACTAAATATAGCAGGTTCATTTTTAAGTTGATGATTTTGTGTGGTCCACAAATAATGTTATAAATATCCAGATGGCCCTTGGCAGAATAAAGTTTTCTTTATTTATGCCATGTAGGATTTATTTATGTGGTGCAGGATTTATTTATGCCTTGCAGGATTTATTTATGTGGTGCAGGATTTATTTATGCCCTACAGGATTGCTGTGAGTCTGAACTGGCTTGACATCACACAGCCAACACCACGAGCTGTAAAGATTACAGCCTTGGAAACCTGTGGGGCATCTCTGCTCTGTCATATAGGGTCCAAGCTGTCAGATGACAGTCTTGGAAACCCTATGGAAAGTTTGATTTTATTTTACACAGTCATTATGAGTCAGACTCGACTCGATGTAGGGCAATGGTGTTTGTTTTCATTTCCATTTTCTAGAAGAAGCAACAGAGAGGTTAAGTAGCATGCCCAACATCACACAGCTGAGATTTGAAGCTGGTCCATTGGACTCCAGATCATGGCACTATTCACACCACAAGCTGCTGTCTCCCAGTGATGGGAAACAAGCGTTCATCGAATGACAGCGGAGATAAAGCCATAAGCCAGGGATGACAGTGGGGGCAGGTATGTGGGTGTGTTAGACCTGACTCTTGATTGTCTTCTCCTGTCCAGATCCCCAGAGCTCCCTGTCTGCAGGGGTCATCGCGGGCATTGTTATTGGGATCCTAACCGTACTTGCACTGGCTGCAGGGCTGGGCTGTTTCCTCTTCAAGAGAAGGTAATCCTGGGGGCAAGAGAGAGGGTGTGGCTGGTATGATCTCTGTTCTCCTCCTTGCCCTCCCACTCACCTGTGCCCAAGAATGGGCATGGGATATGGGCAAGGATCAGAAGCACAGACGAATGAGGGCTTTGTGGCTTTAGGTCCTCAAGAGAAAGTGCAGCGGACTCCACCCAAGTAAACAGGTACCAAGAAGATTCCATTTCTAGTAAGTGTCCCCATAGCTGGCACCCAGGGCCAGGTTAATGGTTGGGGAAAAGGCCTTCAGTGCCAGCTTTGCCAGTAGATCACTATGTGACCATGGATGAACCCTGTCCACTCTGGGCCTCAGTGTCCCCATCTGGAGAATGGATGAGATTGGAAGCAAGAACCTCTGAGGGGTTCTCCTGTTCCAACAGCCTGGGACAGAAATGGCAAATACAGGACAGACAGCTACTGCCAGTCTTCCTTCCTCCATCTCAGGAAACCTTGTGTTATGGATTGGATTGTAGTCCCGCCTCCAAATAAACACTGAAATCTTAACCATATGCTACTGTGATTTAGGCAAGAGATAAAATCAGTTCACCTAGAGGGTCAAGCAAATGACCTTCAAAACTGTCATCTAATGGGATGTAATTGCTTTACACCTAATGTCTCTGTAGGGTAAGCACTGGACTGTGAGCTACAAAGTCAGTGGTTTGAGTCCACCAGCTGCTCCATGGGTGAGAATTTTCCCGCAAAGATACAGCCTCAGAGAACCCTATACAGGATTGCTGTGTGTCCGAACCAACTCAACAGCACTTAACAACAGCAATAATGTAGTATAGATCTTACATCTCATGTATGAATTACACCTGAGCATAAAGGAAACCAAAAATCCTCACAACCAGACACTTAAACAGCATCATAATAAATTTCAAAGAAATTAAAGTTGTCAAAGATCTCATTCTACTTGGATCAACAATCAACACCCATGGAAGTAGCAGTCAAGAAATCAAACAGTGTATTACACTGGGGGAAATCTGCTGCAAAAGACCCCCTTACAAGTTGCTAAAAAGCAAAGATGTCACGAGTAGAAGTAAATATTAGAAATACACTTGATCCAAGCCATGTTCTTATTGATTGCCTCATATGTATGCAAAAGCTGAAATGAAAAAGTAAAATCAAGTCAGAATTAACACCTTTGAATTATGGTGTGTTGTTGTTGTTAAGTGCTATTGGGTCAGTTCTGACCCATAGTGAGCTTGTGTAGGCTTTCCAAGGAGCAGCTGTGAACTTGAACTGCCAGCCTTGCATTGAATTATGGTGTAGGTGAAGACTATTTAATATTCTAGAGTACCAGAAGAATGAACAAATTAATCTTGGAAGCAGTACAGTCAGAATGTCCCTTAGAAGCGAAGGAATGGGAGATGTCAACTCCTTTCCTTGTTGATACTTGTCAACTCCTTTCCTTGTTGATACTAATTCATAGTGACCTTACGTATGATCCTCTTGGTCAACGATCCTCTACTTTACCAAACATGATGTCTTTCTCCAACAATTGGTCCCACCAGATGACATGTCCAAAAAAAGAAAGATGAATTCTCATCATCCTGGCTTCTAAGGAGCATTCTGGCAACACTTCCTCCAAGACAGATGTATTTGTTCCGGCAGTCCGTGAGCCTTACAATTGTCTTGGCCAACACCCACTGACCTGTCAGGAGTTCTTAGCATTCCTTGGTTCTTTGGTATGAGTGTCTTTGTACATATACACTGGCATGACCACATTACCATAATGAAAGGAAAACCTGATTTCCAAACAGAATCATATCCACAAGTATGTTGTTGTTGTTACATGCCGTCAAGTCGATTCCAACTCATAACGCCCCTATGCATGACAGAAAGAAACACCGTCTGGTTCTGCCCCATCCACACATTACTGCTGCCACTGTGTCAATTCATCTTGTTGGGGGTTCTTTTTCGCTGACCCTCCACTTTCCCAAGCATGATGTCCTTCTCCCGGGACTAGTTCCTCCTGACAACATGTCCAAAGTATGAGAGACCAAGTTTTGCCATCCTGGCTTCTAAGGAACATTCTGGCTGTATTTCTTTCAACACAGATTTTTTTGTTCGTTTGGCAGTCCATTGTATGCTTTTAATATTCTTCTCCAACATCATAATTCAAGTGTATCAATTCTCCTAACGGTCTTCCTTATTCATTCAACTCTCACATGTATATGAGGCGATTGAAAATACCTTGACTTGGGTCAGGCACACCTTAGTCCTCAGAATGATCTCTTTGCTCTTTAGTACTTTGAAGCGGTCTTTTGCAGCAGATTTGCTCAACGCAATACAGCTTTTAATATCCTGACTGCTGCTTCCATGCGTGTTGATGATTGACCCAAACAAAATGAAGTCTTTGACAACTTCAGTCTTTTCTCCATTTATATAGCTGTTATTTGTTGATCCAGTTGTAAGGATTTTTGGTTTTCTTACATTGAGGTGCAATCCATAGGTATTGTTGTTATTGAGTGCCATTTAGTCAATTCCAACTCCTATTGGCCCTGTATAGGGTTTCTGAGGAGCAGATGGTGAGCTTGAACTGCCAACCTTGCTGCGGTTCAACCCAGCTTTGCAGTCCAGCATATTAACCCTAAGTGCCATGCTGGGACTCCAATCTACAGGTATAAGGGTCAGCAATTCAACACGTACTTTTGGGGAACACAATTCAATCCACAATACTGTCTAATCCAGCCCCATTGGAAAACCAAGGCCAAGGGGGCTACAGGAGTTAACCGAATCTACAGAGCCCCCCCCCCCCCCCCCCGGAGAACTGGGACTGGGACTTGGGTTTCAATTCTCAACCAAAAGCCGTAACTCACCCACAATTTGATTTCTAGAACTTTCCCAGTTCTAGCTCACTGAAGATGTGATTAGGGGGAATCCTGGGAGAAAGGAAGGAAGGTTTCTGCCACCTCCTTCCTGGGGAGCCCTAGAAAACAGCCTCCTCCTAATAACCTCTTCCTAATTCAGTCCAGAGTTCAATTTCTCGAGGCAGTGCAAGTGTTGTGAACATCACTACGCTGGAGTACCAACAAGAAGTCAGAGTCAAAACGGTGGGTGACCTTAGAGAATGTCAAAGTTTCGCCCTATTTTGTTTCAAGAGGACACATATATAAAGTACAGCAATGGACTGCAGGTTGGTTTGAACCGTAAAGTCACCAGTCACCAGCCACACTTCAGAAACCCTAGACAGGGTTGCTGTGAGACAGCATGGATTCAGTGGCGCTTAACAACTACAACAACCTGAACGATTAAAAAAAGTTATCAAGTGATTCATGACTAATTGAGGTTAAAGAAAATAATTTAGCGGGGATTTAACTAAAAACAAAACTATTAACCTTCACTCAATTCACAAAGGTTTCAAAAACAAAGAAACTACTGACAAGTAGTTTGAAACCTATTCTTGATCATGTGTTTCTTACTCTTAACCGTAATTCTTACCCTAACTCAGAATGGAGTCAAATTTATCCAAAGGAAAAAAAAAAAAAAAAAA